ATGGATGCTGGCCTTGAATACCATGATTGCTGTGCTCAGTTCTTATGGTCCCATGATAGCCAGGAGCATGGCATTCTCCCAGAAACCAACGTGACTGCCTGATTTTACATTCAGTTAGGGACCACAGAATTCCAAAGCAATACTGTTGGAGCCCTTTTCACTTATTCGTTGCACACATTCACTACCATTTTCTCTCTGTGCACATCCACTGTCTCCAGAGTAGTCAAGATACAGTGAGTTTATTTGAGAGTCATGATGCTGAGCCAGAGTTATGAACCATTACATGGACTTCATAGTGTTTATTTTGGCTATTCTGGGACACTTTTTTACTTATTTCCTCCTTGGTGTTTGGATAGCTGAGACTAGTGGACACATGAACTATGAATTAGTGAAATATTCCATGTTCAATCTTCTATTATATAATTGTATGGGATTTTTAATTTATTTTTACAATTTTGAGTGTTCTTATAGACAGTGATTATTTCTTCTAGTTTACAAATAATGGCACCATAGTGAGGACCATTTCACATGTAGCCATTAAAATTGTTTTGCTTGATCATTGACATAGGGGATAACTATAGTGTCTACCCTTGAGACTGTGCCCGGGATTTGTGGGAACTGTATACATTAATCTGAGGAAGACTTTTACTAACGATAAGCATTAATGTACCAAGAACACCTTGTCCTGTAAATAATAAAATCCTGTTTAGGATTTACATAGGAGTTTTATGCTGCCTTCATCTACCACAGTAAAGTGCTGAAATCCTATTGATTCTATCTTTTAAATATCACTGTAATGTGTCGCCTCTTCTCCATTCCCACCGCCCTGGTACCTTGGACCAGTTCCTAGTATATCTCAACTGAATTACCTTTAATAGATTTTTTTTAAGATTTATTTTTATTTATTTGAAAGACAGTTATATAGAGAGAGTTGTCTCCCATCTGCTGATTCATTCCTCAAATGGCTGCAATGGCTGGAGTTGAGCAGATCTTAAGTCAGGAACTGAGCTGGTCTGAAATCAGCAGCCAGGAGCTTCTTCTGGGTCTCCCACGTGGGTGCAGGGGCCCAAGAACTTGGACCATCTTCTACTGCTTTCCCAGGCCATAGCAGAGAGCTGGATCAGAAAAGGAGCAGCTGAGACTGGAATTGGCATCCAAATGGGATGTTGGCACTTCAGTCTGCTGTACCACAGTGCCAGCCCTCTTTAATAGATTTTTTTTAAATTATTATTTATTTGAAAGGCAGAGTTACAGAGAGGCAGAGAGAGGAGAGAGGAGAGATAAAGGGTGGAGAGAAATGGTGGGGGGTCCTCTCTTTTGCTGGTTCACTTCCCAGATGGCCACAATGGCTAGAGCTGTGCCATTCCAAAGCCCGGAAGGAGCTTCTTCCAGGTCTCTCACATGGATGCAGGGACCCAAGGACTTGGGCCACCCTCTACTGCTTTTCCAGGCTGTAGCAGAAAGTTGGATTGGAAGTGGAGCAGTGGGGACTCAAACCGGTGCCCATATAGGATGCTGGCACTTCAGGCCAGAGCTTCAACCAGCTGTGCCACAGTGCTGGCCTCTTTTAATAGACTTTTAAATTTAGTTCACCCCTACCTCTTATATTCCTACCATTGTTCCAAAACTTTTTTTGAGTTGGCCTACTTTCCCTGCCAAAGAAACTTTCCCCCAAAGAAACTTTTTATTTAAGGAATATAAACTTCATAAGTACAATTTTATAAATATAGTGATTCTCCCAAATATATCTGCTCTCCCACCTGCATTGATGCTCGGTATCTCTTTCTCAATTTCGAGGGAAATCAAGTGGCTGCTAGTTATTTCAACACTACTCAAAAGATGGCTAGATAAATGTTTGTTAAATAAGCGAATGAAATTCCTTACATAGCTAGGGTGACCATTCAACCTGCTTGGCCCTGCATGTTGCCTGTTAACCTGTTTCATTGCTGTGTAATTGTTTTTTATTTTTTAAATTAATTAATTAATTAAAATGTTATTTAAGTTATACAAGTTTCATGTATTTCATATATACAGATTGAGGAACATAGTGATATTTCCCCTCCTCCCTCCTGCCCATGCCAATTATTAAGATGACCCACTTTATGATCAAACTTGTCTCAGAACAGTAAAATATATATTCATCTAATTGTGTCAGTCATCAAATACATTTCTCTTTCCTTCGGTCCTTTACTAGATAGTGAACTCTTGGGGACCAGGGATTTACTTTGTTCACTTTTTTTTTTTTTTTTTGACAGGCAGAGTGGACAGTGAGAGAGAGACAGAAAGAAAGGTCTTCCTTTGCTGTTGGTTCACCCTCCAATGGCCACCGCGGCCGGCGCACCGCGTTGATCCAATGGCAGTAGCCAGGTGCTTCTCCTGGTCTCCCATGGGGTGCAGGGCCCAAGGACTTGGGCCATCCTCCACTGCACTCCTGGGCCACAGCAGAGAGCTGGCCTGGAAGAGGGGCAACCAAGACAGAATCTGGCGCCCCGACTGGGACTAGAACCCAGGGTGTCGGCGGCACCGCAAGGCGGAGGATTAGCCTATTGAGCCACGGCGCCGGCCCACCTTTTATATCATTATTTATTCACTCAACTAAGAATCTAACTCTTTCAGGTGTTGAGGTTTTAATGTCAAATAAAGTAAACTTAGTTCTTACCCTCATGAAGTTCACAATTTGACAGAAAAGAGCAATGTCATCAATGAATGTTGCCTAACAAAGTAAATGCATAGTGTAAAGTGAATGGATAAAGATTTAAACATCCTTAATCAAGCAACTGTAATCCAAGGAACTGTAAGACACAGAAGTAGTCATATACACAGAATCCATTTGATCCAGTTAATCATTTATTTAGGGGCCTGTACTGAGGCATAGTAGGTAAAGCCACCATCTGCAATGCCAGTATCCTATATGGGCACTGGTTCTAGTCCTGGCTGCTTCATTTCTGATCCAATTCCCTGTTAATAGCCTGGGAAAAGCCATGGAAGATGGCCCAAGTACTTGGCTTTCTGCCACCCATGTGGGGGACTTGGATGAAGCTCCTGGCTCCTGGCTTCATCATGGCTCAGTGCTGGCCATTGTGGCCATCTGGGGAGTGAATCAATGGATTGAAGATCTCAATCTCTCTCTCACTCTCTCTCTCGATCTCTGTCACTGTAGCTCTGACTTTCAAATAAATAAATAATTTATTGAAAGTTTCTAAATAAAATTTAAAACACAAACAACACACATATACCTAAGAATTAATAATATTTAAATGTTACCTTAATATTAAACATATGAAAAATGATCATGGAATAATACCAAGAATGAGATTTTGAGTCTCGTTCTCTTTTTAGACAGTTTGTAACCCTACATAGTTCTCTGCAGTGTGGATTATTGTTATGGGTACTGTTCTTTCCAGATGAGAAATCTGAAGTGTTAGAACTTGGACCTCAAAAGATTAATTTTGGTTCCTTTTTTAAAAATATTTCATTTATTTTAGTGACAAAAGACTGATTTCCTTTTTTAAAAAAGATAGTTTCTTTTGAAAGGCAGTATTACAGAGACAGAGACACACCAAGAGGTCTTCCATCTGCTGGGCCATCCTCACCTACTTCACCAGGTGCATTAGCAGGGAGCTGGATAGGAATTGGAGCAGCTAGGACTAGAACTGGCACTCATATGGGATGTAGGCATTGCAGGCTCGGGCTTTACCCCTCTGAGCCAGAGCACTGGCCTCAAAATGATTGTTTTGTTAAATGAGGATTTTTATTTTGGTTGGCCTTTTTCCTAACCTTTTCAATGATATTTCCTAATAATAAAACCCTTTCCACCTCAGTTTTCTCTGTTTAAAGTAGTGATAATATTGTCTCCAGAATTAATCTGAGGGTTAAATGAAATGCAAGGCATTTAGTCCCTTAAACTGGTTCTTAGAAGATACACAGAAATATTAGTTCTCCATTCAATTCCCCTGTTAATCTTTCCATACTTGGTGAATTAAAGGATGAAGCAGAACAAACATCAATAAAACACGAATAAAATTTTTATTGTCAAATTCGTATGCTAAACTATGTCTTCTGCGCCGCCTCTAAAAATTATATTGTATTCACACTCATTTATTATTTGATTCTTATAGGCAAAAACCACAGAAGCCTTCCAGGAACAAAGGAGCATGTAAGATCTTATCTGTAAGAAGGCAGAGCTTATGAAGAAGCCAGGACTTGGGGATTAATTAGCAGCACTGAGTGTCACTCTTAAGAATTTGGGTTCTGGGGTCAGCGCTGTGGCACAGTGGGTTAACGCCCTGGCCTGCAGTGCCGGCATCCCATATGGGCGCTGGTTCGAGTCCCGGCTGCTTTATTTCCGATCCAGCTCTCTGCTTTGTCCTGGGAAAGCAGAAGATGGCCAAGTGCTTGGGCTCCTGCACCCGTGTGGGAGACCCAGAAGAAGCTCCTGGCTCCTGGTTTCGGATTGGAGCAGCTCCAGCCATTGTGGCCAATTGGGGAGTGAAACAGCAGATGGAAGACCTCTCTCTCTCTCTTTCTCTCTCTCTCTGTGGGTAACTCTGGCTTTCAAATAAATAAAATAAATCTTTTTTATAAAAAAGAATGTGGGCTCAAGAAAGGAAGAAGACTGCCAGCTGATGCTTGAGACTTTTTATTTTATTTCATTAATTTTATTTGAGGGATGTAAACAAGAGCAAAGACTCTGTGTTGCCACTTACCCTCAACCTGACCTAGACTTTCAAGCCCTCAGGGAGGGCCAGCAGATCTGCTCTCCAGGAATGCCATGACCTTGGACTCCATTTCCCAGAGTCCCTAGGTGCAGGAACGTGTTCCTAGCTGAGCGGGGCTGAGCGTGAGAGAATACGTGCGTGGGCGGGAACCCTCGGCTCAGAGTGAGTTCCCGGGCGGCTGGGTGCAGTGAGCCAAGCTGCAGCCTAGCGACACGTGTTCAGGCTGCCCACTCCTTGTCTCTTGCGCTGTTCCCTGCAGCCTCCTTGTGCGAGCGAGTTCCTGCCCGGTCTCAAGCTGCTTCCGCATTCGCTGCTGCTGCGGCGTCTGCCGCCCGGATCGCCGCGGGTTTTTTCCTGCCCCACACTCTCCACCTTGCTCCTTGCGTGTCCTGAGCAAGAGCTGCCGCGCTTCCCGGGAATTTCCAGGGCAGGTACGGAGCCGTGTGCGCATGGGACAGGGAAGGGTGCGCTTGCGGCTGTTGGCTCGGCTCACTTTCTGGGCGCACTTGCAGGCGATCCAGGTGGCGTCTCCGACCGCCGCCTCCCAACGCCCCGGCGGGCCCATGCACTACCTCGCTCCAGCTTTTCTTAATGGGTTTCGGGGGGGTGGGCACAGTGCAGGGACCAGGCGTGAGGACTGGAAAAGTTAGGACAGCGAAGGAAGGCAGCAGGGCTCTTGTTCTCCATGTTTTCCTCAGTTCCGTTCCCAACTTCGCAGGTGTCTAATGAGTGCCCTGTGCGGGACATCCCTGTGTATCCAGCGGTGGTTCCGGGGCGGGGTAGTGCTGAGCGGCTGTCAGCGGGGAGCCAGAGCCGGAGGCGGAAGGCGTGCAGATCTGCCTCTCTGCACCCACAACCCATACAGCAGGCTGGAGGGTTCCCGCGGACACACCGGACTCCTGGGGCCTGGCGTGCTCGGGGCTGTTTATTTTCCCAGCGGGAGCTGCAGGGAGAGTGTGCAGTGGCTTTGTGGATTGATTCCTTCTCTGGTTAATAGATTTTTGCGATCTGGAGTTTGAGGCTGTTTGTTAGTAAAATGGCGCAGTCTAATCTATGGCGCGATCTACACCCTGACACCATCCTAGCCTCTATACCCCCTCTCTGCGCGCCGCCATTGCTGGAAGCCCGGTAACCGCTTGGGCCCAACCACTGGTGTCAGCTCCATCCCCATCCTAATGGGATTCACGCTCCTACTTTCCTGCCGGCCCCCTGGCAAAGTTTTAAAGGACCTTTTCCGGAACACGTGTCTCTCTCTCTTTCTCTCCTGACCGCTGTCTCTGCCCCACTCTCTTACCCTCTCCTCCTTCTCTTTTTTTCTTAACCCCTTCCCTCCTGTCTGTCAGGTTTCCCCCAATAAGCCCTTTCCCTTACTCTGGTTTTTGGTGTGTTTTGTGGCGGCCTTACACTGTTTAAAAGTAGCTCAGGATTTATCTGGGTGCTTTTCCACTTCTGTCTTCAACCCTTGTTTCTTCTCCTTTTAGGAGTGATGTCAACTGCTGTACTTGCTACTGATCACTTTGCAAAATGAGAAGTGAACTGAGGTGAATGCAAGTCTACTGCTTGGGTCAATAACTGGAGCTATTTCCATGTGGATTTTCATGAAGTGCTCAGCTACACAACCATGCAGGCAGAAAAGCAACACGTTCTCCAAGCCAGATTCTTTGTAGTCACCGAAATGCTCCATCCAACTGATTATTTTATAGTCCATCTTGTTTGAATTAAGAAAGGCAATTAGTTTTCTTACTTTGGGTTCTGTGTTTAAGTCCATCACATTTTTCAGATTGGGAAATACAGTGTATAGATTTTCATAACGACTGTGGTCTGTAGAAGCTCCATAGAAGTTGTGAGTGTAAGGAGCCGTAAGAAAATGAAAAAGAAAACAGTGCCCTGCTACCTCCAAAGATGCCCACACAGTGTAGTGAACGAGATGTGGCCTTGAAAACTGTTGCTGACAATTTTCACTATATTGATGATTTCATATGAATAACCATGTTTGAGTGAATCACATGTTCTGTTAGCATGGTGCTGTCACTAGATTACTAATTTAGGAAACTCATTGAACATAATGAGGTCATCTAGGAAGTAAAAATAGAAAATGAATCTTAGGTAGTAGGGATCCAGTAAGTAGCAGCATTTCTCCTTTCAACCCCTGTATGTTATTTTTGCCCTTTTTTCCAGGATACTTCCTCTCATAGTGTTGTTGATAGAGAGGCAGTTATGTATTTTTTCTGTGAAGAGCTGTTTTAAACACTCTGTGAGCTGTAAGCTCACTTTCTGAGTAACCATGTTATGTGCCCATTTATCTGACTTGGAAACAGCCAAGAACAGGATTCTCAGACTTGTCAGGATGGGTGATTCTCCTCTATAGATAATTCCCTGCACTGCTATAAGTTATAAGCAAGTTATTTAAAATGGAGAAAAGAGAATTTCTAAAAAATATGAGATACATAACCTGGTAACTTAGCAATGATGTATTTAAGGAAAGGTCCCAGATGAGGTAGCAGTCTGATGGTGTCCATTCATCTTCCCTTTATTGAAAGTCATTGACGTCTTCTACAGGATGGGAGAAGGAAATCCTCTCTTTGAACTGCTTTAAGCCAGGGGAATTTATCTGCAGTGAATACTTCAGTGCATTTGTGGGGCTTTTAAAGAAGGAGGTAAGTTTTTTCCTCATATGACTCTCAATGTAAATTGTAATTTGAAGCAGGTGAGGATTTTTGCCAGCCCATCAGTGTATGTTTTGAAATGGAATCAGTGGCTGTTGAAATGTACAATCTAAATTTATAAAGGAAACAGAAGACTCAGAATTCTACCTCCAGTTGGTTTCAGGGGCATTTATTGGACATCAACTCTGGTCGAATAAGCAAAGCAAAAGAAGTAGAAATTGTGTTAATATTTTGCTGTAAGTCAGGGGTGGGAAACTTTCAGCCTGTGTGCCATGAACAGTCCATGAAATCGTTTGGTCTGGCCCTGCCAAGGCAACTGTAGGTGGAACTCAATATTCAATGACTCTATTTAATGATTCATTTATTTAAAAGATTCATTTTATTTATTTGAAAGGCAGAGTTACAGAGAAAGAGGGAGAGACACACAAAGAGATCTTCCACCCACTGGTTCCCTCCCCACATGGCTGCAATGTCCAGGGCTGGGCCAAATGGAAGCCAGGATCCAGGAGCTTCTTCGGGGTCTCCTATGTAGGTACAGGGAACCAAACACTTGGGCTATCTTTTGCTGTATTCTTAGGTGCATTAACAGGGAGCTGGATTGGAAGTGGAGCAGCCAGGACTTGAACTAGTATGCATATGGGATGCCTGCATCTCAGGCAGCAGATTTACCTGTTACGCCACAACACCAGCCCCAGCAAACTAATTTTTAAGTTGATAATTTTATATGGCCTATGAATGATATTATAAATATCCAGATAGACCTTGGCAGAACAAAGGTTCTCACTCTGCAAAATATTAATGGGAAACATGAGGCAGTTTAAGAATGAGTGAATTGGTAACTACAATTACCAAACTTCCAAGATAGATACTTCTAGAGAACACATCTGAAAGGCACCCATTATTTTATTTATTTATTTATTTATCTTTTTGACAGGCAGAGTTAGACAGTGAGAGAGAGAGACAGAGAGAAAGGTCTTCCTTCCGTTGGTTCGCTCCCCAAATGGCCGCTACAGCCAACGTGCTGCGCCGATCCGAAGCCAGGAGCCAGGTGCTTCCTCTTGGTCTCCCATGCTGGTGCAGGGCCCAAGCAGTTGGGCCATCCTCCACTGCCTTCCTGGGCCACTGCAGAGAGCTGGACTGGAAGAGGAGCAACTGGGACAGAACCAGCACCCCAGCCGGGACTAGAACCCAGGGTCCCTGTGCCACAGGCGGAGGATTAGCCAAGTGAGCCGTGGCGCAGATTAGCCAAGTAAGCCAAGGCGCCAGCCCCCATTATGTTTTTAAAATACTGTCAGAGGCCGGCGCCGCGGCTCACTAGGCTAATCCTCCGCCTAGCGGCGCCTGCACACCGGGTTCTAGTCCCGGTCGGGGCGCCGGATTCTGTCCCGGTTGCCCCTCTTCCAGGCCAGCCCTCTGCTGTGGCCAGGGAGTGCAGTGGAGGATGGCCCAGGTGCTTGGGCCCTGCACCCCATGGGAGACCAGGAAAAGCACCTGGCTCCTGGCTCCTGCCATCGGATCAGCGCGATGCGCCGGTTGCAGCGCGCCGGCCGCGGCGGCCAATGGAGGGTGAACCAATGGCAAAAGGAAGACCTTTCTCTCTGTCTCTCTCTCACTGTCCACTCTGTCAAAAAAAAAAAAATACTGTCAGAGATGCCAACTGTTTTGTTAAAAAGGCTTTATTCCTTAAATAGGAAATAATGAGAGAATGTGTATCAGAAATAATGTTGCTGTTGTTGGCTCACATAGAACCTGTTTCTGAAAACATGTGTCCTAGATGGCACAGGAAGATGAGTGTTTATGTCTATGTCAATGTGTATGAGGTATCCATGTGTATAGTTTGTACCAACTCATATATACAGATGTGAGAACATGTACAGATGCTCTTTTTCTAGATGTGCACAAGTGAGGATTTCTCAGTGTTTGGACTTTGTTAGGTGTGATGAAGAAAGAATGCATGTGAGGGGAACTTTCATAGCTGGAAACTGGTCTCTGAATATCAGGACCACCATGAATGATACCTTACGAAATTATTGACTTCCACCTGTTCTGCTGGGTGATTTGTCCTTACAAAACTTATTTTCTCAAAAAATAGTGTATTTGAATTTTTTTGTTGTTTTTGTTTGTTTTTTCTTTTCTTGGATTTGGTACATTTCACTGAGAATATATACAGACCCAAGTCAGTAATGTATAGATCGTGGAAAGTTGTCTGTGGATTTTCCTAAATGACAGTGGTCTGCTGCTGCTGCCCACTAGCTCCTAAAGCCTATGGTTGTTCTTAGCTGAGCATCTGTAAGCCAGAAACGTGGAGTCTAAACCACTTGGGGTTTCTGTTTTTCTCCCTCTGTCTTTGTTCTCCCCCTTTTTTTTTTTTTTTTGTTTCTGCTGGTCTGCCAAGGAGTTGATTTCCCAGGAATACTCACTGCCTTAATCCACAATTCTGTTCAGCCTCGTTCCCTGGGAAGACTACTGTGACACTGGCCATTGACGAAGATGGACTTACACTGGGCACCTTCAAGATGGACAGTTTGTCCTACCTTCCAACCCTTTGGCTTTCATAGCCCAGATGGTTTTGGTATCCACGGTTCCCAGGGAACGAGGCGATGGACAGTTTGTCCTACCTTCCAACCCTTTGGCTTTCATAGCCCAGATGGTTTTGGTATCCACAGTTGAAGTCAGCTGTGATGCTCCCATCCTTTGTCAGCAGCCATGAGCCGTTGTTGTATCTGTCTTGGTAGATGGAGATGTGCATATTCTATTCACCAGTGGTTCCTACACCTTTGCTCCTTTGTACTATCAGCAAGGTGAGGTGCCAGGTACTTTTAGCACTTGTCATTTCCTACTTTATTACTGTACTTCTGCCCTCAGTTTGCTCCCCCAAATGTATACTGGCCTGCAGTCAGGATGCTGAGTCACAGTATAGGGGACTTCTATCTTTTCTTCCATTGAGGATCAGAATATCCATCTGCCAGCCTAGCTGCTTAAGATCTGCCATGATGGGGCTGGTGCTATAGCATAGCAGGTTAAGCCAGCCCTGTGCTGGCATTCCTTGTGGGTGCCAGTTCAAGTCCTTGCTTCTCCACTTCCCATGCAGCTCTCTGCTGGTGTATCTGGGAAAGCAGCGGAGGATGGCCCAGGTCTTAGGCTGCTGTACCACAGGAAGCTAGCTCCTGGCTCCTGGCTTCAGGTTGGCCCAGCTGCGGCCATTGCTGTCATTTGCAGAGTGAACCAGCAGATGGAAGATCTGTCTCTGTTTCTGTCTCTCTCTCTCTCTAACTGTGCCTTTCAAATACATAACTAAATCTTTAAAAACAAACTGCAATGACAGATTCTCCCATTTGTACTTCACAGATGCAGATGGCAAGGGATATGATTTGTGGTCACAGCTGCCATTTAGCTCCCTCTATTCACTTAACGTTGATGACACTGGGAAGATGATTCTTGCTGTTTTTTGGCCTGATTTTTAATGGGAAATCTTCATCTGGCTTAGAGGATTGGAATGTCAAATGTAAGAACCTTAGTTTGAGTGTTCTCTTTCTTCAAGTAAGCTTTGCCTAGCTGTCAGTTTGTCTCCCTCTGTTCCTCCCTCCCTCCCTCCCTTCCTTTCTTTTTTCTTTTAAAGATTTTGTTTATTTGAGAGGTGGAGTTACAGAGAGAGGGAGGAGACAGAGAGAAAGGTCCACTGGTTTAGTCCCCAAATGGCTGCAACTGCCAGAGTTGAGCTGATCCAAAGCCAGGAGCTTCTTACAGGTCTCCCACATGGATGCAGGGACCCAAGCACTTGGGCCATCTCCTGCTTTCCCAGGCCATGAGCAGGGAGCTTGGTTGGAAGAAGAGCAGTGGGACTTGAACCAGCGCCCATGTGGGATGCTGGCACCACAGGTGGAGGCTTAGCCTAATATGCCACAGCACTGGCCCCTGGCAGTCATTTTCAACATGTGAGTGTCATTGTGCATGTTCCTCGTCATGGGAAGGGCTAACTCCTTCCCTCCCAATAGCTATAGAATATTGACATTCACTTGTCTCTCATCAGTGAGCTTTGCTAGTTTTTCCAGGAAGTATTTTTCTAAAGATGGCCAAAGGCAAATTGGCTTCAGTGCTTTCTCCAAGGACATAGTTGGTTTATTCTCTGAGGACTCTGGTGTTAGAGGGGTATAGAGATGTCCTGGAGTGAATGCTACTGCATTAACAAGTATAGGTTCCTAGGGAATTTGGTAGGAGAGAAGGGATAAAGAAACTCACCCATCCCTCATTTCTTTTCTTCCTTTATTATTTTCTCTTACCTTTATATTATTTTCTAACTTTAGTCATTGGTTCACACTCAGAAGACTATATGATTCTGTTGTCCCAATTCTCAGCTGTTGTCCACATCAGGTTGTTTTTCAGAGAAGGACAAAAGTATCAGCGCATTTCAAGTAGCTGTGTTTTTCTTGTGACCACAAGGCTACAAAGCTGACTTCTCTTCAGACCTCACTTATTTGGTGGATGCTTATGTTGGGGCTCACTTGGAGGACTAGACGCAGCTGTTCTATGTTTCATGTTCACAACTATTATTAATTCCTGCGTATGAAATGGCCTTTTTAATGTTTTCTAACTCCATGGTTTGGTTCTGGGGACACCCACCTGTAATGGGAATGACACCTTTACTTGGCACTAGCAGTCTGGGAATGCTGATCCCTGAAATCTGCTTATTTTAATCAGAAAATAGTTCTTTTTGGAAATGATTGGGCTGTGGGTGACAGGGCACTTTTCTTCAACCCTGTTGAAAACTTATGGACTGAGGGTGTTTTTCCTTTTTTATAACCACCAGCATGAATACCCCTCTTTTTCTTCTCTTTATGATAAGGAGAAGAGTAATAGAGATGTTGTAGCTGCCTTCCTTCTCACTTGCTCAGTCAGTCTCCTGGAATTAGGCACTGTGTTAACTTTGTGCAGTAAAGGGCATCTGCCTAAACCCAATGTTACTTTTCAGTAAAACCCAACAAACCTTTTCAATAAGTCCTCGTAAAATCAGCTTACCTTGTGAGTCTCCCATCTTTGGTCTGAAATATGTTGTGAATGGGCCTTTTACGTCAGTGTCCATTAGCTCGAGACCTTCCCACTTAAGGCAGAAGGCTGCAGAGGGACAGCACAAATGCTACCATTGTCTGTCACTTTTGCTATGTCTCCTTTTTCACCCTTTTCATATGTATGTATGTATGTATATATATGTGTGTATATATAGGTAGATATAGATAGATATATATATATTTGAAAGGCAGAGTTACAGAAAGAGAGGGAAATGGTGAGAATGGTGAGAGGGGGAAGAGGGGAGATATTCCAACCATTGATTCACTCCCCAAATGGCTGCAATGAATAGGACTGAGCCAAGCCTAAACCAGGACACTGGAAGTCTAACTAGGTCTTCCATGTGGGTGTAGGGGCCCAAGTACTTGGGCCATCTTCCACTGTTTAGTAGGAAGCTGGATAAGATGTGGAGCAGCTGTGATTCGAACTGGCACTCATAAGGAATGCCAGCACCTTAGGTGGCAATAGCTTAACCCACTGCCACAGTGCCTGCTCTACCCTTTTTCTTTCTGATGAGTTGTATTTGTTCTGATCTTACTTCTTGGAGATAATGGTTGAACAGGTCTTGACATTCTGTTGGACTGTTCTGTTTTGTTTTGGTCATCATTTTTTGAGTGATGTAATAAGTAATCAAGCTGTACTATAGAAGTAGCCCAAGTCCTTGGGCCCCTGCACCCACGTGGGAGACCTGGAAGAAGCTCCTGGCTCCTGGCTTCGGATCGGTGCAGCCCGATTGTTGCAGCCAATTGGGTAGTGAACCATCAGATGGAAGACCTCTCTCTCTCTCTGCCTCTCCTTTCTCTGTGTAACTCTGACTTTCAAATAAATAAATAAATAAATCTTTAAAAAAAAGGGGGGGGGGCGTAGCTGTGATCTGGCAGGTGGTTAAAGCTGCCATGCATTAGGGTGGGACTGATTTTGCCTTTTTATTTCTCCAAATACAAGTGGAAAATGAAATCCTTTCAAAACTACAAAGTAACAACTAGAGATGAAGATTCTTTTCTTCTCATCTAACAAATCCAGCTTGTTTGTGTATTTCCATCTTTTTTTTTTAAGATTTAATTTATTTGAAAGACAGAGTTACAGAGAGAGGTAGAAACAGAGAGAGAGGTCTTCCATCCACTGGTTCACTCCCCAGATGGCTGCAATGGCCGGAGCTGCACTGACTCAAAGCTGGGAGCCAGCAGCTTCTTCCAGGTCTCCCACATGGGTGCAGGGGTCCAAGGACTTGGGCCATCTTCCACTGCCTTCCCAAGACATAGCAGAGAGCTGGATTGGAAGAGGAGCAGCCAGGACTAGAACTGGTACCCATATGGGATGCCAGCACTTCAGGCCAGGGCTTTAGCCTGCTGTGCCACAGCAGCCAGCCCCTGTATTTCCATTTTTTAACCCAAACGTGTCAGACTGCATTCTCTTCAGAGTGTCATGGCATATCTGCTATTTACATGGTTTGCATTATGTGGTGGCATCATCCCCCATGGAGATGGATCACTCACACAGGAATACAGCTGGCTGGAGAGAAATTCAGTGAGTCTGTCTACCAAAGTAAAATGGAATTCTGACCTGGAAATTCATGAAAATCTTAACAGAAGGGTGGGAAAAATTCTTTGTTTCAAGTTGCATGCTCTGTAAATTGGCATCCTTTCTTCTTTTGTTCCATGTATTCCTTTCTTATAGAGCTGTCTGTTCTCCTAGTGCATACACAGGGAGCCTGTGGCCGAGGGTGTTTGTGCATGGCCACAGTATCTGGAGTTGCCTTTGTAGGAAATAAGTCCACCACAGACCACTTTACTCATCAAAGGATGTACTCTGACAGATGAAGTCAGGGATAAGCGAGGCTTAGTTCACAGCCTTGCAAAGAAGGGGGACTGTTGACTAGACACATTCGTGATAGAAGAAATGATGCGTATATACCCTAGTGCACTGGTCCCTCCCCTCCTTTCCTCATTGGCTGAGTACTCAGAAATTCAGTCTCATGCTCAAGCTGACTTACCTCAAACGGTAGAGTTAGAAACATACCAGGGGATTGCAATTCAATCCCATCAAGGTGGCATGTACCAATGCCATCTCACTAGTCCCAGTGATCAATTTCTGTTCACAATTGATCATAATGATAGGACTAAGAACCAAAGGGATCACATAAACAAGACTAGTGTCTGCAAATACTAGCTGATAGAATAAAAAAGGGAGAGAATGATCTAACATGGGAAGTGAGATACACAGCAGACCCATAGAATGGCAGATGTCCTAAACAGCACTCTGGCCTCAGAATCAGCCCTTAAGGCATGCAGATCCGGCTGAAAAGCCCATGAGAGTATTTCAGGCATGGAAAGCCAAGACACTCTGGGGAAAAAAAAAAAAAAAACCTAAATGAAAGATCTCCACGAGTGAGATCCCAGTGGAAAGAACAGGTCATCAAAGAAGGAGGTACCTTTCTCTGAAGGGAGGAGAGAACTTCCACTTTGACCATGGCCTTGTCTAAATATGATCAGAGTCAGTGAACTCAGGGGGCTTCCATAGCCTTGGCAGCTCATGACAAGAGCCTAGGGTGATTACTGATGCCATAAACAAGAGTGTCAATTTGTTAAGTCAACAACAGGAGTCACTGTGCACTTACTCCTCATGTAGGATCTCTATCCTTAGTGTGCTGTACATTGAGATTTAATGCTGTAACTAGTACTCAAACAGTATTTTTCACTTTATGTTTCTGTGTGGGAGCAAACTGTTGAAATCTTTACTTAATGTATGCTAAACTGATCTTCTGTATATAAAGAGAATCGAAAATGAATCTTGATGTGAATGGAAGGGGAGAGGGAGTGGGAAAGGGGAGGTTTGCGGGTGGGAGGGACGTTATGGTGGGGAAGCCATTGTAATCCATAAGCTGTACTTTGGAAATTTATATTCATTAAATTAAAGTTTAAAAAAAAAAAAAAAGAAATTCAGTCTCCCCAGTGCCACCTAAAGAAGGCAAACCCCAGCTTTTCTACCTGTCTCCCTAAGTGTTTTTGTTTCTCAGAAATGGGCTGTTTGCTCTGCCAAGTCAGCGCTATTCCATTTTAACACACCAATTTCTGCCTCACTATAACTTCCTGTTCATATATGAGCTCTGCATTTGTAGCCAAATCTGCCAGTTAACTGTTAGTAATTTTCCAGTCAGAGCTAAGCACTTTATTCTTGTTTTAACAGAGAAGGGAAAGGCTAAAGCAGTATTAAAAATTATTTGTTTAAAAATGCTGGTTTAAAACAACTAGTTCAAAAACAGCCTGCTAACATGTATGAAATAAAGACCAACCTAGGCTCAACAGATGGAGAGGCAGCTAAAACTAATCTTGAGATGTCCAGGATTCTGGTGGGCTCTTCTTAATAATGATTCCCCATCACTTTTCTAAGCACTTTTTCTTTGAAAACGAACCATACATTTTTACTTCTTGTGCCTCTTAC